ATGCCTGCAAGGCGGTCCAAGATGGACCCCAAACGGCCTAAGATGGCGTCAAGACGGCCCTAAAGGCGCTCGAGACGCTTCAGCTTGATCCAAGAGGACCTCCAGGAGGCGACCGGGCGCGCAGTGATCCCGCGCTGGATGGAGGAAGCCCCAAAATCGAGTGATGAATCGGATCGGCAATCGAAATTCACCGCATCGGCGGACATCGGCAGCCGAGCCAGGGGAAGTCGAACAGGCGGAAATCGGCAGGCTAGTAAGCCTCCAGTGCAAAAGCGGAGTCCAGATCGGATTTCGAAGCCGAATCGAATCGAAATCGGAAACCATCGATATCGAATCGAATCGAATCTGAGGCGGCCGAGCGCGCAATGATCCCACGCTGCCCCATGCCATTGCAGCGCAGGAACAAACAACAGGCGTTCTCGCTCTGTTTCGAGCCCCGAGACCCTCACATATCGGTCCAGCTTGGAACATGACGCGGCAAAATGAGGTCAGGGCTCCGGGGATGCACTTTCGTGATGTTGCATGACTGGTGTCACGAACACGAGCCCCGAGACCCTCACATATCGGTCCAGCTCGGAGCAGGACGCGGCAGAATGAGGTCAGGGCTCCGGGGGAGGCGTTTTCGTGACGTTGCATGTCTGGTGGCGCCGCAAGATCTGCAGGGGAGGGAGGGGAGGGGGTGAGAGGAGGAAGGAGGAGGGGGAGGAGGAGGAGGAGGAGGAGTGGGCGCAGCTTCCACGGCGCCCCTGGCCCCCATGAGCAGGCTCACGAGGTCCAGGGCACCAGAAGTCGAGGGACGGGGCGGTTAACCTATACCCCGCCAGGCACACACGGGTCGCGCGCCGCGCTCGCCCGCTCCGGCGACGCCCGTGGCGTGTCCGCCCTCCCCTCGCCACTGCCAGCTCGCACCGCGCTCAGGAGGTGAGCGATCTTCTGGGCCAGGGTGCGCTCGCCTGCCCCCCAGGCCGTGGGGCCTTCCTCCCGCTGTGCCTCCGCGGGGCCAAGCGGCGGGCGGGGTGATGTCGGTGCAGCGCGCTGCCGGTGGGTCTGGTTAGGGTCCAGCTCGGCAGGGTGGCTGGCCGCGCAGTACGCCGTGACCGCACCCGAGAGCGGGGACGTGTAGTCAGGCAGCCAGAGGCGAGGACCGAGGGGGCCGCCTGTCGCCTGCACGGTGACGTCGGTCTGGCCGTCACGGTTCGGCGTCGTCTGGCTAGGCTGGCTGCGGCGCCGCTGGCCTGTGCCCCCTGGCGGCCCCCCAGGAGCCCCAGCAGCCGCCGCGCCAGCGGCCCCCTGCTCGGCCTCTGCCGCGCCGAGGGGCGCGCCGCCCGCGCGGGAATTGGTCGAGTCCTAGCCCTACTCGGCCAGCCCGCGCTCGAGCGGGGGCGCCCCGCGCCAGCTGGCCGCCCCAGCACGCCCGGCGGCTCCGGAGGCGCTCCCGTCGGCGGCGTCGGCGCCCCCTTCGGCGGCCCTGGCGACCTCGGCCGCGTCGCCCCCGCGGGAAATGGCCGAGCCCCGGCCCGACTCGGCCAGCCCGCGCTCGGGCGGGAGCGCCCCGCGCCAGCTGGCCGCCCCAGCACGCCCGGCGGCCTCGGAAGCCTCCTGGGCCTGCGGGGCCCGCCCGGACCGCCCGCCGGGGGCGCGCGGGGTGGCCGCCGTGGCCAACGCGGCGGCGGCTCCCCTTGCCCCGCCTCGGGGTCCGAGGGCGCGCGCCGCCTCCGCCGACCGTTGGCTGGGGCCCGTCTGGCTTCCGAGCCTGCTTGCGGGAGGGGCGCTGGGCCGCCTGGAGCGCCTGGCCATGGGGGACGCCGATGACCGCCTCGAGCTGGTGCTCCGTGGCACCGGCCTCGGAAAGGTCCTCGGGGATCGCGGGGCCCGCGGGGGCCAATCCGCCGCCGACCGCGTGGGCGATCGTGGCGGAAATTGCGTTGGCCTCGATAACGGGCTTGGGCGGCCCCTGGTGCGACGGGTGGACGCCCTTGGCGATCCTCCTGAGGGCCTCGTCCGTCTTGCGGGTGGTCTCGCCCTTGCGCTCGCCTCGCAGCCCCATGCCCATTGCTGCGCCGTGAGCCCCGCAGTCGCCGCAGAAGTAGAGGTTGTGGGCTGGCCACTCGTAGAGGCGGTGGGAGGCGTGGGCCACGCCCGCCCCCATGGCGATCTGCATGCCGGCAGGGACTTTGCGGACGTGGTCGAACGGGGCCCAGTCCGCTTCAGTGGCGGCGCAGGCGGAAGCAGCCGCCCCACGAAGCGTGGCCGCGGGGAAGAGCTGCCGGCCAAGCAGGCACTTCCACTTGCCCTGGCCCACGGTGACAAGCTGGCGCGGCGAGTCGTCAATGGCCCGTTGGAGGGCAGAGGGGCGGGCCACCTGCTCCGCCGCGGGCCTCTCCGATAGCCATGGGTCGCCGCCCGCCGCGTCGAGCAGGGCCCGGCGGGCCCGCCGCCTGACCTGCGAGGCGATGACGTCCCAGCGGTCCGCGTGCGGCGCGCTGCGGTTGGCTGAGGCTGCAGCCACCTCGGCACCGAGGTTGGCGAGCCTGTCGTCGCAGCAGCTGCCCGCTGCGAGGAAATGTGAGATCATCGGTTCCCCTTTTATCCTCTTGGTGGGACGGAGTCCAGGTGACGCCCACCTGGCGGTTCGGGTGGGCCTGGAGCAACCTGCCGATGCGGGCCCAGAGGTCGCTGTTGGCTCCCTTGCCGAGGTTGAGCCAGCGCTGGGCGTTCCACCCGTTGAGGAGCGGCATGTTGTCGGTGACGTAGTGGATGTTGGCCTCCATGCTGCTAGAGGGCGCGGGCGATGGCGAAAATCTGCCCGCGCGGGACCGACTGCCGCCGCCCAGGGAGAATCGCGACCGCGCCTGCTGCCAACTGCCATTGCGGGCCGCGGGCCTCGATGACCGCGAGTCCGACGCCAACCCGACGCCTTCGCTCGCCCGCGCCGTGCTTGCCCCCCGAGGCGTCGCCGAATATCGTGATGGGCTGGATGCCGCCTGTGGGCCATGAGGCCCCGACGTGGACGAGGAGCTCGTCGTCGCAGGTCGGTGCCGGCGGGGTGGTGCGGCTGGCAGGGTCAACGCCCCTGAGCCAGAGGGCAGGGCACTCCTCGCTGCCGCTGAGTGCCTGGGGGATGAGGTGGGCCGTCTGGTCGTAGGCGGGCTGGGGCAACGCCAAATGCGGTGCTCGAGCGTCTCCTCCTCGCCGAAGCATCGCTGGCAGACTGCGTCGCGCTGGCATCCTGCGGCAATCTGCCGCTGCCGTGGCCACTGCCCCCCAACCGCGACGAGGTAGTTGAGGGCCCACTCCTGCCAGTGGCCGTGCTTGGCGCAGTGGTCGAGCTCACGCTTGACCTGGGAGACGTCGCCAGCGCCGTGGGCGCGCTGGCTGGCCCGCTGCCGGCGGAGGCGGTCGAGGTCCACGGCGAGGTCGTCCAGCAGCTCCGAGAACTTGTGGAAGTCCACCTGGAGCTGGCCGTGGTGGTCAGCGAGCGGGATTCTCCGCTCCTCGTCGCCCTGCGCAGTGGGGCGCGACCAGGAGTGGGGTGACGAGGGCCGCCAGCCTGCGTCCATGAGCGTGGCGATGACCGCCGCAACAGGCCCATGGACTTTGCGCCATCTCCCCGTCTTGGCTCTGAGGAGCCATTGGTGCACGTGGGGCCAGATGCGCAGGACGCGCTTGTGCAAATCTGGCCTGGCGAACCACTGCGTGAGCCACTCGTGCGCGAGCTGGGTGCGCAGCTTGATGACGGGGTCCTTGTCGCCGTAGAGCAGGGCCATGACTGTGTCGAGGCATCGCCCAGGGCCCGTTCCCGCAGCCGCCGCCGCTGCGGAGCGCCTGAGCAGGGTAAGTCTGGAGGGCGCGATGCCCCAGACCTCGTGCCCGAACACCGCCTGCGGCTGCACGCCAGCGGCATGGAGACTGGCGCCGAGCTTGCCAAGCCGCGCCGCCGCGCGACGAAGGCGCTGCACCCGCTTGGCACGGAGGGCCGCGCGCCTGTGCCTGGTATGGGCCTTGCGCTGGGACCTCCTGTTGCCCGTGACGACGTCCACCCCGAGGTCGACCATGTGGTGGGCCCCGTGGCCTGGGACTCCGCGCTGCCTCACGCGCCTGCCGATGTCCTTGCGAAGGGCAGCCGAGGACGCAACGGGCGCGGTCTTGGGGGGGACCGCGAGGCGGCCGTCGCTGCACTGCTGGGCCAGGGCCGCGCCGGCAACAGCGAGGGAGTCTGTGACGACGGCCTTGGTGCCCTCCGCGCGCCAACGGTGTCGTCGATGTACGACCAGATAGTGGTGACATGGGCCTGGGCCTGGGCAGCCTGCAGGATCCGCGACGTTGGACTGGCTGGCGAAGATCGGGGGGTCGACCCATGCCCCTCGCTTCAAGTAGCGCGGCGCCAGGAAAGCCTCGACCTCCAGGGCCAGGACAGTGGGGGAGAAGCCGAGGTCGACCGCGCGCTCGATGAGCCAAGCGAGGTCCAGCGAGTCGAAGAACTTCGCGATGTCGGCGTACAGCGAGGCGTGGTGGATGCCCATGCCCTGGGCCGTCTCGTCTAGAGTGGCTCGGTAGAGGGTCGCGCGCAGGGCGGACGACCCCTTGATGGCCGTGTCCCAGTGGTCCTCGAGGCCCTGGGTCCACTGGTCGACGACGCCACTGCGCGCGCGAGCCCAGATGCGCACTGGCATGGGGAGCAGGGCGAGAACTCGGTGACCTCCCGCAGGCTTGCCCGCTACCGCTCCCAGGGTGCCGTTGAGCTGCGGCAGCCACATGCAGTGCGCCTCAGCCTGGTGGAGGACGGCCAAGAACTGCTCCTTGGCGCAGTCGGGGAGGCGCTCGACGTCCAGCGGACTGAGCCTGTCGACGCCCTGGGCCTTTCGGGGGCCCAGCTTGCCAGTGGCTGCGTTGAGGCCGTCCACCGCGATGGGCTCGAGGGTCTCCTGCGCCGCGAGAACACGGAGCGAGGCCAGAGCTACTGGTATGGCCTTCGCGCGGTCGGCGGGGGCGGTCCAGACCTACTGCCATGTGGTGGACTTGGCCAGCATGACCTCGACGGGGTCCGCCAGGGTGCCGTCGTCGGTGGGGTCTTCGAGCCGCTCCAAGTCACCGTCCTTGGTCCAGCGGTGGAGCTGGCCCAGCGTGGCCTTGGCCGCCCAGGTCGCAAGGGCTTGACGCCCGTGCTGGAGGGCCCTCCGCGCGGCGTCGCCAGCGAGTTCGCGGGCGAGCTGCCTGGCGGCCGCCTGCTCCTGACGGGGCAGGTCGAGGATCACCGTGGCCCTGCGCTGGTAGTCCGCCAGCTGGTCCGCGCGCTTGGCGGCCGAGAGCTTGCCGATGTCCGCGAGGGTGCTGCGGTGCAAGTCGAGGCGCCACAGCATCTGTCGGTGGTCCTTGCCGCTGGCAGCCAGCGCGAGGATGGCCGTGAGGTTGGCGCTGTGGGTGGCCCAGGCGTCCGCCTCAGGATGGCGGAGGTGGGCCCTGCCTGGGCTAGCCGCCCTCTGCCTCCAGGTGGCGCCGAAGCCGCGCGCCCTGCCCTGGCGGGCGGCCCAGTTCGCCTTGTCGCAGCCCTCGTGCTGGAGGATGGCGGCCTCGACCTGGGCGACCCAGCTGCCGTGGAGCTCCGCAAGGGCGTGGGCCTGGTCCTCGCGCTTGTCCAGGAAGGGGTGGCAAAGCAGGTCGGAGTTAACCTGCACAGCGCTGTGCCGGCAGGGTGCGGCGGCGAGGGACGGGGCGGCGGGGGTGTCGCCTGGGGCCTGCCCTTGCGACGGTTTCCTGCCGCGCCGCGCCGAGGGGCGCGCCGCCCGCGCGGGAATTGGCCGAGTCCCGGCCCAACTCGGCCAGCCCGCGCTCGAGCGGGGGCGCCCCGCGCCAGCTGGCCGCCCCAGCGCGCCCGGCGGCTCCGGAGGCGCTCCTAGCGGCGGCGTCGGCGCCCCCTTCGACGGCCCTGGCGGGGCCCAGGGCGACCTCGCTTTGGCTCCGGGGCTGCCCGGGGAGGCCCCGAAAACTTTAGTGAAATGCCAAACGCTTCGCGCGCGTAGCGTTTGGCATTTCACATGGGTTTTCGCGGGCCCGCGCGGCGCGCCCGGCGGGCCCGGCGCGCGCGCCCGGCAGCCGTCGCGCCAGCAGCCCCCCGCACGGCCTCGGCCGCGTCGCCCGCGCGGGAAATGGCCGAGTCCCGGCCCGACTCGGCCAACCCGCGCTCGGGCGGGAGCGCCCCGCGCCCGCTGGCCGCCCCAGCGCGCCCGGCGGCCTCGGAGGCCTCCCGGGCCTGCCGCTCGATGGCGGCGCTCCTTTTACCAAACGGGCTGACCTGCAACAGTGCTGAAGACATGGGAGGCCTGCTCGTGTAAATGCAGCACCCCTGGGACGTCGCGCAGCTCGGCCCCTCTCCACCAGCGAGGGCGCCCCTTTCATCGGGCGGACCGACCTGTAAATGAACTGAAGAAACGGAAGGCCTGCTGGTAAGTGCAGCCTGCCTGGGACGCCGCACTGCTCGGCCCCTCTCCACCAGCGAGGGCGCCCCTTTCATCGGGCGGGCCGACCTGTGATTGAACTGAAGAACCCATCGCAGTATAGAAGCCAGCCCCGTAGGGCTCGTCCCGCCGTTCTGCTGGCGGGTGCCCCTCGACAGCCTCGAAGAATTGCTCTTCGGCCAGGTCGTCGAAGGGGTCCCAGACGCCCGAGAAGTTGGCGCGGGCGACGGCGCCGGCGTGGCGGGGGCTGCGTAGACCCGCAACCTCCGCGTGACCTTCGACCTGGGGCGAGGCCAAGCAATCGTGGAACTGGTCGAGGTCGGCCTGGGCGGCAGGGAGGGGGCCGCCTCCATCCGCAGGGGGTGGGGCTGGCCGTGGGCTGGCGCCATGGCCCACGGGATGCTGGCGGGGGCTGGGCAGGGCACTGGCTGGCGTGCCCTCCGCGCTGCTGCGGCAGAGGCCCAGCTGCACCTCCTCGAAGTCGGCGCCGAGCCCTGCCGGCAGGGCCGCCGCCCGCCGTTGGAGCGCGGCATGGCTCTGCCTGGACCTCCTGCTGTTGGGGTCCGCTGCCGCCTTGGCGCGCTTGGTAGCCGGGAGGCTGCGCGGGGCGTCCAGCGCCTGATGCCGCCATCTCTGGCGGGCGCCGCGGAAGTGAGCAGGGGCCCGCAGTGCGTCGCCCACGGCGCCTTCAGGACATCCTTCAGCGAAAACAAATGCTGGTGGCCGTCCTTGGCGAGGCCGTAGTCCAGCAGGCGGCCCTGCCCTTTGTCGCACGTGGTGGCGACGTCGGGGAGGGCGACCGCGCCGCCCAGTTTGGCGACCCAGCCCGACTGGGCGAGCTGGCGCGGCTCGTGGTTCCAGTCGCCCAGGACGATCCACGGGGCCTTCTGCGTCGCGAGGGGCGCCCCCAGCGCGACGAGGGTGCCCCTGTTGCGCTTGCCGAAGCCGAGCGCAGGGCGCAGGTAGAGCGCCACCACAACGATGTTGCCCGCCGCCGCGCGCAGGACCACGGGGGCGAAGCCGCAGAGCGCAGCGCCCTTGGCGCCGCGCCAATGGTCGAAGGTGGTGGCCTGGAGGTGCGCGCGCACCGCCACGAGCTCGCCTCCTGTGACGCCGCCTTTGCCCGTGGAGACCCCAGGGGAGTGCGTCGCCTTCCAGCCGTCCTTGCGGACTGCCCCGGTGATGGACATGGCGCGTTTCTCCGCGCGGCGCAGCTCGACGAAGGCGATGCCGTCGAAGCGCATGGCGCGGTCGGACTGCAAGAAGCCCCTGGCCTGGGGGGCCCACTCCGTGATGTTGCTGTAGAGGACGGTGACGTCCACCTGATCCGTGTTAGGCATGATGCTGGCCTCCACTGGCGGCCGCGGGGGCAGCGGGGGCAGGGGGCCCGCCGGCCGCGCCTGCAGGCTGCCAAGCCAATGCCTCGCGGCCACGGGCCTCCGCGTCGTCCCCTGCCGCGCGGGCGGCCTCCATGGACAGCTGGGGGCTGGTGAGCCTGGGCGCAGCGCTCGGCCGCGCTGCGGGCGTTCTCGTCGTCCTCGGGGACCTGATGGCCAAGGGGCTCGGCGGGCCTCGGCCCGTCGGTCGCGCGCCGCCTTGGCCTTCGAGACCTTCTGGAGGAGGCGGTCCCTGGCCTCCTGGGACTGTTGGCAGATCTCGAGCGCGTCGGCGCCGTCGAGGCCCTCGTCGTAGGGATGGTCCTCGAGCTTCGCCACGAAGTCCTCGAGGGGGGGGATGGCCTCCGACTCCTTCCCGCCGTGGAATCGCTGCTTGCCGAGGTCAGCGAGGAGCGCGCGGGCCGCCGCGAGGTCCTTGTCATGCTTGGCCTGCTGCTCCTGCTGGAGGGCCAGCTTGACCTCGAGGTGCGCGATCTCGGCCTTGGTCGCCTCAACGTCTTTGCCTATCGAAGCAGAGAGGCCCTCCAAGCGCTTGACGTCGCGGTTGCAGGCGTGGTCGCGCTTGCCGAGGGGGAGCGTCTCCTGGCGCTTGGTGCGCAGCGCCTCGAGCTCCGTCTTCCAGCGCTGCACGTTGTCCTTCTCCGAGTCGCCCATGTGCTCGCCCGCCTTGATGAGAGCCGCCAGCTTCTTGATGCGCGCGAGGTCGACGGCGTCTTCTGTCTGCTGGGGGCGCCGCCGCTGCCAGAGGCGGCGCTGCGTCACCACCAGTCGCGGCCGCAGCGACCTCGCGTCGAGCCAGCTCGAGGTCCCCGTCGTGCTTGGCCTGCAGCTGTTGGCGGATCTTGACCTCCATCGCCTTATACTGCCAGGGCGCGCCGTCGCCCGTGGGCCCGGCGGCGGTCGGCGGCGGGCTGTTGACCCGTGGTGCTGGCTTGCTGGGGGCGCCCGCGACGACCTCGCCAAACGCGACCCCTTTGTGCAGCTTGCAGCCCGAACACACGAGGTTCCAGCCGCTGTTGCGGACCCTTGCGCCCGTGGCCGTCTGGCAGGACTTGCGCAGCCAGGGCTGCCGCTCCGTGGAGGCCCGTGCTGACGGGCGCGGCGGGGCTGCCTGGGCTGGACCGGTCCTTCTTTTCTGGGGCCATGCCGAAGCGCGCGGGCCCGCAAAGAACTTGGTAACATTTGTTTTACGCTCTGCCCAGCACCTCCCTCGGTGCTCAGAGCGCCTCGCAGAGGCGTGCGCCCAACGGGAGGGCGCCATGGCGTTGAACCAAAATGGCTACGGAGGAGAGGGAGGAGGGGAGGGAGGAGGAGGAGTGCACGAGGGTAAGAAGTCTGTCCGCTCCTGTCCGTCTACCGCGCGTCTACTTCCAGAGCGATGCTTTGATGGCGCATAACCCTGCAGCTCTCGTAGCTGGGGTCGGCGCGGCGTACTTCATGTTGTAAAAGAAGAGAATGGCGAGCGTAATCCGCTGATTCGACCACGATAACGAAAGCTCGTTCGCGGGATCAGACGGAAAGGCCGCGGTGGGGCTCAAGCCCCAGGATGTAAGTGAGCTGCGGAGGAGGGGCAAGATGGGGGACCGGAGGAGGCACAGGAGGACCGAGCGGGACAGGAAGAGAGGGAATGAATCGGGTGCTGCTGGACACCCTAACACACACGACATCATCGAGGGAGCGTGCATGCAGTGGGACTTCGCCCGTCCACCTGCGAACTACCCAGCGCCAGCACAGATGAGCGGTGCACATGGAATTCGTGGGAGCAGCGCATCGCGCGGCACCCTCTGGCGGCAGAGGCGGCTGAGAGACGCCCCAGGCTGCGATACGCATCTCGAGCGTGACTGAGAGAGGCACCGAGAAAGAGGCCCGCTGCAGCGTGAGCGCGACCGCGCGCTGCAGCCTGGGGCGGCGCGGTGGCTCAGCACTCGGGGCCTCGCGAATTTCACGGGCAGCTGCGTGGTTCGCCGCCGCCGCGGCAGCTGCTGGAAACGGGGCGGCAGTGGAGAATAGCTCGCATTCCCCTCGGAGCATGAAAGCGGCAGAATGAATGGCGACGGCAACAGCTGGCATCTGTGGCGGGTACAATTCCACTATGGCAATAAGAACTACTTTGCGAAACGCGTTAGGCAGGGGGCGGCGCAACTTGTGAAACATGTAAATGTACACGGCGGGCAAGCTTCTGATCGAGCAATACGAACTGCGAGACATGGCTGAGCATTGAAACTACTGATGAGAAGTGAACGCGAACGGTGGCAACACAGCCGCGTTGCACTATCTGAAAGGTATTCGCCCGAAGCGGGACGACGACATACTTGCGATGTTTCATGTGGGGGTGCGCGAGCTCCTGAGCGGCAGCCAAGGGCTCGGAGTCAGCGCGCTGCGTGGAGAACGAGAACGTGAAGAGGCCAATGTCGCCCGCAGCATCTCCCAGGTAGCTCTTGTCGTGAATGAGCACGCCGTCGACTGTCGCGATGAACGAGGCGGAGTGGTGAACGAGCGGGCCCATGGCGATCACCCATTCAAAGCCGCTCATGGGGCAGCCCTGGGCCGCGCCAGTCTCAATCGGAAACATGAAGTGGCGAACGCTATCAACTTTGAGGAAGCAGTTGGAGGCGAGGTACAGCTGGCGAGAGAAGTTCATCGAGCACTCAGGGACGCCCCTGGATTCCAGCGACGCGAGGGGCCAGACGCTGCCGAGCGACGGGGGCGCAGCCGCGGGTTCGAAGCTGGTAAAGACGGGCTTGGGCTTGTCGGACTCTGGATGAACTCCTGCGCGGCGCATCGCGGCGGCGGGGTTGATGATGTGCTTGGTGAAGATGCATCCCACTACCAAGCCCTGCTGCATGTAATAAGTCCGCTCTGCCACAGCGGATTTGGTGAGGATGTTGGTTTCGCCTGCGATGGTATTGACATCGGTGTACTTGAGGGGCGGCGGGCGAGTGCCCCCAGGGCGGCGGTCCGTGGTGAGTACGCCTATGAGGTTGACGCCCTTTGGCATGATCGCGAAGTCAGGGCCGTTCAGGACGAGGATGAAGACGGAGTTGAAGCAGAGGTGCGAGGCAAGGTCCTCCAGCGGGCCAATGGGCGCGCCCGCGGCGAGCCAGGCGCAGTACGGCAAGAGGTCGAGCCCAGACGCAGATGGAGTCGCGTGAAGCAGAAAGCCTCTGATGTGCGACTGGATGAGCCCACCGACGTCAACGATGGGATGGCTGAGCGAGAGCTCGACAATGCACTGCTGGACCTTGATGCCAACGACGTGCTTGCGCTTGAGGACGTGGCTCCAGTGAGCGCGGAGAGCATCGACCAACGCGCAGCTCTCTCTGGCTACTCCTGGGAGGCCCTCGGGGTCGGTGGTTTTGATCACCTGGATAACCAGACGGCGCTTCCAGGTGTCCCAGAGAGGGGCCCTGCGCAGGGGAGATCGGTTGACCTTCCTGGGCCTCTTGGGATCGGCGGCCCCTAAGGAGCCTCGCGGCAGCTGAGCTGCACGGCGCGCCAGGGAGCGCCGCCGAGCCTCGAAGTCGCGGTGCGGCGCGGCAGACTTCATGGTGAACTCGGCGGCATCCGTGAGCGCGATGTGCCCGACGTCGATGTTGAGGAACTTGGCGCCAGGCTCGGAGGTGGATTGTAAACGTCGCGCTGGGCGAGCGCCCTGGCGCCAGCCCGCCCAAAGATGGCCAAGCGCGCCGCGTGGCCCCCGCTGCGTCCGCGAAGAGCGCCTGGAACGACGTGAGGGTGGCGCCGCGCTCAAGGTCGCGGAAGGCGGCAAGCTCGAACGCCTTCTCGTTCCACTCCAGGATGGCGGGGTGGGCGCGGCGGTCTAGATGGGCCGCTGCGCCCCGATGGTGAAGATCGTGGGGTCGATCTCGCGGTCCCAGTCAGCGAGCTCGGTAAGGTCCGCGATCGGCGCCTGGGCCTCGGCGAGCGCGAGGGTCTCTCGCATCTGGTCGATCTGCATCCACATCTTCTTATGTTCCTCTGCTTGACGGTCTTGTTCTCTACGAGTGCGTGCGACGACGTCATGACGGGTGTCGACCCGTCGTTCGGTAGCTAGGACTTGCTGCGCAAGAAGTTGGCGAAAGCTTTCGCGTGAATCATTGAGCAGGACGTTGGCTTGAACTTGGGATGTACTGGCAGCATGTGCGACTTGAGCTTGCATGAGATCTTGAAGAGCTTTGTCGAGTTCGGGGTCCAGACCTGGGAGGCGAACGGGGTCGCCTGGCGTAGCGGCATCGGTATCGGCGGCGGCTCCGACGGCGGCAGCTCCTCCAGCGGCTGCTGCGCCTCCAGCACGCCATGGGTCAGCAGCAGCGAGAGGGTCGTGGCGACGAGCTTCACCTTGGAGTTGCGGCGGCGGCTCGGTCCCTTCACCGGCTTGAAATTGGCGTGCATTGACGGTGACGGCGGCGCGGGCAGGGTCAGCAGCTTCTTCTTCTCCAGCGTCCATGGCGAAGTGGGGCGGCTGATGGTGTGCACGAGCTGCGGAGCGGCAAGAGCGAGCGGCATGTCCAGATGCTCGCCCTGAGCGTGGCGCTGCCTGTGTAGCAATGATGGCGTCGCCGGGCGAGGCCAGAGCGGCGCGCCCTGCAGCTGCTCGACCATTTTTATCAGCACGGCCTGGGGGAGCTCAAGCAGCACGATCTTGGTCGAGTCGTTCACGTTCTCGTCGACGGTCTTTCCTTCTTCGGCTAGCAGATGGGGCACTTCGGGAGGTAGAACGTTCTTCGCTGGAAGAAGACATGGTTGAGACTGTGGGCTGCCGTCGGACTGACTGCTGTTCTGCTTCAGGAAGTTGATGTCGAGAGCTCCAGACTCCAGGGCCTTCGCGGAGCCACCACGTGGCAGCTGCTGCAGCTGGGGAACGAGCAGGTCGACGTCCAGCGGGTTATGGAGAAGAGCGACGGCGACGTCAGTGAGGCCGAAGTCCAGCCGGTGCTCGGCGACGGAGGTCGGAGCGCACGAGAGCGCGATATGGATGGCAGCCTGCAATGCCAGCACAAAGAGCAGGAGTGGGCGGCCGCACGCCCCTGAGTGTAGCGGCAGATCGCTTGGGTGCCAACTCACCCCTGATGGTGGCTGGAAACAGTTTGGGTCAGGCCTCGGCTCAGAGGTCTCCATGCGGCCGCAGCGCGACATGGTGACTTGAGCCAAAATGGCTACGGAGAGAGGGAGGAGGAGGAGGAGGAGGAGGAGGAGGAGGAGGAGGAGGAGGAGAAGGAGGAGGAAAAGGAGGAGACGAGGAGGAGGGGGGGGGGGAAGGGGGGCGCCCGTGGCGCGCCAAGAAGCGCCCCGCGCCCCACCCCCTTGCCCCGTGGGGCTCGGGGAGGGACGTCTGCCCGGAGTGGGCGCCCGGCGGGCGAGAGAAGGGGGCAGGGATCCAGGGCGAGGGGGTACGTCAAGCTAGGTGCGCTCGGGTCATATCAAACGTCCTACCCCTCCCTCCCAACCCTGACCATGGCGTAGATCCTCTTGTCTATTCGCACAGTCGGATGTCGTAGCATGGCATAGCATTACTTACATGGCACAGCATCGTGTTGAAGATCAACGCGTAGCATGACATAACATGGCGTGGCGACGCCCCAAAGTGAGGGTACGTAAAGCAGCCCAGGGGCAACACCAGTGAAATAGGCACACGTTCCAGGATACCTATCTTTTCCCATCTGCTCTGGGTCCTCGTCTTCCCCTCCGTGGCCCGTGCTTTCCCACAGCATTGTCCTGGAGATCAGCGTTTAGTTGTGTCTGTGCTATTCCCCTCCTGAGGAAGAGCATGAAACAGGAAGGCCGATGCATTAGATCCAGGCTCGCCCCGCCCGAATTAAAGGCGGTTCGAGCAAGCAACCATCCGTTACTGAAGCAGGAAGGCGCATATACAGTAGACCAGGATCTGGGAACCCATGCGCGCCTACGTCAAGTTCGTGTCGTGCCGACTCCGGCGTTGGTCTCTGACACCGCGGGGATCGTTCAACCTTGAACGATCGGCCGTTTCCGAAACGTCCAAATCGTTCCACATCGAACGATTCTGGGTCGCCAGCGGCGTTCAACGTTGAACGCCGCTGGCAGGGTCGCCGCTGGTCGACACGACGCGAACCTGTCGTACCGTCAGCGGACCCGCTGTAGCTTCCCTGCTGGTTGATCGAAAGCGGCTCGGACGCCTTCTCTGGATCAAGCCTGGGCCGCGGTCGGGCGCCTCCAGCACGGTCTCACGCGGCAGGCAGCGACGCAGTGATTGCTCGCCTGGCGCTCGTCAGCTGCACATCCAATGCAGGTCTCGCTCTCTCTCTCTCGCTCTCTCTTTCTCTCTATTCAGTGTGGGCTTCGACTGCGAGGCAGGAGAACGTAGGTAGACACATGGACTAGGAATGCAATCCAAGTGTAGAGAACTTTGGGGCACAATTGATATCCCTCGATTGGTGTAGGACGGCGCTCAGCGTATACTGGGACAATGGAATCTGGGAGCACATACTGTCAACGAGCGGCCTGCAAGAATACAGATCTGCGAACAGAGCGACGCTGCAAGCGCGGACCTATGTACAAAGCGTTCTAAAAGGACCAGTAACTGAATTTGCCTGTGGCGCTCTGGGTGGTCCTCCGACAACAAAATCGTCATACCAATGATTGCAGTGCATTTGGGCGCCCGGGTCCTGTCCGGCTACTCTCCGCGGAGAGCCCAGACCTCAGCAAGCCTTAGAGGGCGCAAGCAACATTAGCAACGTATCTCGCATATCATCTACATGTCACATGCCCGTCTGTGGTCACACCGTATTGAGAACCAGATTATCACGACCGCACTATCGCACATGGGCGGATGATCCGCACGATGCCAAGAATGCGCGCCCCCGAGCCACCGCTGACGAAGACAATGGTAGAGGGCTTCCGATTTGAACCCGGTATCTCTAAACCTCGAGTCAGAAGCCCACGACCCAGTGGAGCCATTGCTGGCCCCACGCCCCCCCCCCCCCATCCCGGCCCGAGCTTAAAGGCCCGCTGCTCGTCACAAGACGCCCGAAGAGTTGGCATGAGTGCCGCGCGCAGGGCCGACGTATGGCACACGTGCCGCGCAGCCAGGACACGCCTGCGTCAAGCAGAGAATACGCTCCACCCGACGAGGACACACGCGCCTCCGAACACCGTGGCCGCAAAACTCTCCCCCCACCATCGGCTTCCCCGCCGGGCGAGCATGGCGCGCCGTTCCCCTGCGCCCCCCCTCCGCCCCACTCGCGTCTGCCATCCTGCGCGCTGGGCGCAAGCATTGCCAGAAATGCCCTCAATCACCCCGTCGATCGTCGTCGGGGCGGCGAGCGTGCTCGCCATGGGCGGCTGCGATAATGGCGTGGGCCGATCGTCTCGCACGGGAGCTCCCGCCCCAACTCCCGCGGCATGCCGAGGGCCGCAATGCGCGTCACCTTCGCCTAATCCTCCACCGTGTCGAGCCTCGACTGGGCCTTGGCGATCATCCAGACCTTCTCGGCTCGCTGCGCCGTGGTGGCCTGGCGCGCGGCCCCGTGGTCAGCGCTGCCGCTCTGGGCCATGGGCTTCATCGGCTCCGAGCAGCGCGTCACCGGCAAACCGCTGATGACGTTGTACTTCAAGCCGCGCTCCAATGGCTGCCTGAAAGACGGCGGTCACCCACAAATGCGGGCAATTGAGACGCGGCCGTTCTCATCTGAGAACTCTTTAATCAACGGCCAAACCGCGCCATGCATCACGCGCAGCGTGGCCGTCGCGCGACTGCACCGCACAGCCGCCTGCAGCTCGCTCGCATCCTCGACCTCGGGGAGCAAGCCATCCGACCCCCCGGTAGACGCGCGTTGAAGTCACGGATCTTGGTCGGGTCGCCGGCTGGGATCCAACCCACGCTGCGCAAATCTGCGAGGCGAGCGCGCGCTCGCCGACCAAATCAACGCGCACTTTGCGAGCGGGCGCTCGTAGCAACGCGCATGGCACGCGTGCGCCCTGCGCCCCGGCTGCGTCGCGAAACGATGCTCAAAAACGGAAGACGGATGCGTGTCTCGCCCGCGCGGACACGGCGCAAGCAGAATGGATCTCGCACGCGAGCGTCTTCGAGCACTCGTCGTCGCGCCCCTTCGCGCACAGGATGTCGAGGAGGTCGAGGACGTCGAACGGAACGAGTCGAGCCTCATCGTGGTTGTCGGGGCGCACCCCCGACTTCATCGCGCGGGCGAACTTCTGCTCGCGCGGGCTGTTCTCCTTGATGGCCCTGCGGAGCCCGGCCTGGAATGCCGAGGCACCCTCGGGAGCCTGGCCCGCGAAATACGCCTGGAGGCTCCCGTTGATGAGCGGTGCCAGCGCGTTGGCACGCTCCTCCTTGCTCCTCTGCTCCTTCGCGTCGGCCACGCTGACCTTCATTATATGCGCGCGTCGCGTGCCAATCTCCACGCGAGCAAAGCTCGCAACGTTGGCGTTTCAACGCCACGCGAGCAAAGCTCGTCATTGGTCGCGCTGCAACGCCACGCAAGCAACGTTTGGGCAGCGCCAAAGCTATCGCCGCGCGGGCAAAGCTCGCCGTGGAAACTAAGGCGGATACCTCCCACGCGGCCATCGCGCCGTCCGGCTGCGCCATGGCAATCGTAACGCCGCCGCTAACCCGCGAGCTGAACGCCTCGGGCAACGCGCCCACTCGTGCCAAAATAGCTAACCATCGGCACCTTCATCATCAGGCACCACCACACCATCATCATCATCATCATCATCATCATCATCATCATCATCATCATCATCATCATCATCATCATCATCATCATCATCATCAGGTGGCGCGTCGTTTGCGAGCAAAGCTCTCAATCGCAAGCGAGCAACGCTCGCAATGCAACGTCGCGCGAGCAAGATCGTTCGGTTTAAACCGCAACTGTGTGTATGACGCGTGCGCTTGCAATCAAGTGGTATTCTATCATATGTGTACGAACAAACGTCGTGTATCGAAATAAGCTGCAAAGAACTGAACAATCTCGGTTGCCATGACCGGTTCAATAAAGTAGGCAATGAGTAGTTGATCAGACATATCTGTATATATGAATGTACGGACTCGGGAAATCTATTATATGACTGTTCTACAACTAATCTACACGTATTGCACAAGTAAACTACAACTGGTTTACATCTATTTTGAAATATATTGGAACGGGCCGTAAAGCCAGGCCTCGGCTCCTGGTCCCGGGCCAGGCTCATGCTCCAGCCCAGGCCCTGGTCCCGGCCCCGGCTCATGACCACGCATTGGCCTTGGCCCCGGCCCCTGCTCTGGTCCTGGCCCTAGCCTCGGCCCCGGTTTCGGCCCCCGCCCAGCTTCGGCTCCAATCCGACCCCGGCCCCGGCCCCGGCCCAGGCCCCGGCCCCGATCCTGGCTCCCTGTCCCAGTCCTGGCCTCCTCTTCCTCCTCCTTCTCCCTCCTCCTCTTCCTCCTCCTCCTCCTCCTCCTCCTCCTATTTGGGGTCCTCGTTCGTTTTCCCGAATAGTGAGCATTTTTTTATTCTGGGTTCCGGCTTTAGGCGCATGGGGGGGAGGGGGGGGGGGTCCGGCTCTCGGCCCGTGGTCAATGCCATGTGGGGAATCCCGTGGGAGATGCCGATGAGGGAATCCTAGGGGGGACCCCCCATGGGGGAATCGCGCAGCGGCTGCGCGGGGCTGCACCAAGGCTATGCGTGATTTGGCAAGCCTGTGCCAGAATTGCTAGGGATCACTTATTCATGATTCCACGAGGCCGTCGCTGGCATAACAGGGGAGGGCCCAGCCGGAGGCATGCTTTCTGGCGATCGGGTCCGGCGCCCCTGAGCCCTGTCGTTGTGGTTCCAGAAGAGTAGCACGATAAAATGCGCACAGTTGCACACATCAGCGATTCGAGTTTCTACCGGGGGAGGGGGGGGGGCGCCGGCCCCTGTAGTTCGTCCGATCGATTGAAGCAGGTGCCAAAATCAGCCCGGAACTTCTCTACGGGGGGGGGGGAGGGGGGGGGGAGGGGGGGGGGGGGGGGAGGGGCGTTCCGCCGAAAGCAAAAAAAATAATAATAAAAGAATGCTCACATAAGCCTCTAGGCCGTAGTAGGGTTTGTGATTTAGAAATCCCCTCTCGGATAGCCGATTCCGCCACGAGCTCCTCTAGGCAGGGGCGCAAGCGATGCAGATGGATCGACTGTCAGCGAAGGAGACGGTAGGATAGTGAAGATATTCTGGCCTCGGATGGGGGCCCCGATTTCCTTGCCTCCCTGCTACCGTGCTCCTCAAGGAAGGCGCAGCACGGCTGGTCGGCGGGCAGTGGAAAGGGAAATCGGATGTCACCCCTGAAGGTAGAGGGTTGGGTCGGGTCGGTCAACCCTCTGCCTTCCCCCCATTGAGAATGTGATGGCCCTCCTCCTCCTCCTCCTCCTCCTCCTCCTCCTCCTCCTCCTCCCGCTCCTGCTCCTCCCCATGTTCCTTCTCCCTCCTCCTCCTCCCTCCTCCTTCCTTCCTCCTCCCTCCTCCCTCCTAACTTTTCCTCCTCCTCCTCCTCTCCTCCTCTTCCTCCTCTTCCTCCTTTCCTCTCCTCCTTCTTCCTCCCCTTCCTTCTCCTCTTCCTCCTCCTCCTCCTCCTCCTTCTCCTCCTTTTCCTCCTCCTCCTGCTCCTCCTCCTCCTCCTGCTCCTCCCTCCTCCCGCTCCTGCTCCTCCCCATGTTCCTCCTCCTCCTCCTCCTCCCCTCCTCCTTCCTTCCTCCTCCCTCTCCCCCTCCTCCCTCCTACCCTTTTCCTCCTCCTCCTCCTCCTCCTCCTCCCCTCTTCCTCCTCTTTCTCCTTTCCCTCCTCCTCCCTCTTCCTCCCCTCCTTTTCTCTCCTCCTCCTCCTCCTCCTCCTTCTCCTCCTCCTCCTCCCTCCTCCCTCCTCACCCCCTCCTCCTTCCTCCTTCCTCCCTCCTCCCTCCTCCTCCCTCCTCCCTCCTCCCTCCTCCCCCTCCCCCTCCTCCTCCTCCTCCTCCTCCTCCTCCTCCTCCTCCTCCTCCTCCTCCTCCTCCTCCTCCCCTCCTCCTCCTGCTCCTGCTCCTCCTCTTCCTTTTCCTCCTCCTTTTCCTCCTCCTTTTCCTCCTTTTTTTTCCTCCTCCCTTTTCTGCTCCTTTTCCCATCCATGTTTTCCTTCTTTTCCTCCTCCTCCTCCTCCTCCTGCTCCTCCCCCTTTTCCTCCTCCCCTCCTCCTCCTCCTCCTCCTCCTCCCTCCTTCCTCCTCCCTCCTCCCTTTTCCTCCTCCTCCTCCTCCTCCTCCTCCTCCTACTCCTCATCATCATCATCAGCATCCTCCTCCTCCCCCCCCCTCCCCCCTCCTGCTCCCTCCTCCTGCTCCTCCTCCTCCTCCTCCTCCTCCTCCTCCTCCTCCTCCTCCTCCTCTTCATCCTCTTCATCCTCCTCCTCCTCCTCCTCCTCCTCCTCCCTCCTCCCTCCTCCCTCTCCTCCTCCTCCTCCTCTCAAGCAGCTTGGGCTCGAGCACCATTTTGGCCAGCTCGCCAGCCCACCGCGGTACCTGCCCGAGGTGCTTGAGGCACACCATTGCCCCTGGATATTCAGCCCCTCCAGGCAAGTGTGGTGACAGAATCCGCGGGGCTAGCCATGTCCAGCCGTCAATGGTCTCAATGCAAGGGTTGCGGACAAGCTGAATAGAATGACAAACTCATGCAGGGGGAGATGAAGTGCAATCGATGTGGCATGAAA